ATACGATTGCAAATAAAAAATCATAACAGTTTGATAAAATAAGTTTTCCGTTTAATACATGCAAAATAAAAGTGCGAGGAGCAGTTTATTGTAAATATCTACATATATTCTAGCTAATATTTTTACGCGCCCTCTGCATGTGCAGATTTTTGTGTAAAAAGTCATTGACTTACAATTATATTCAAATTCAAATTCAAATTCAAATTCAAATTCATTTATTTTTCAGACAACTTAGTCCATATTTGTTAGTAACAATAATCTTATGTGCTAAGTTAGTAGAGACAAAGAGGACAAAACAATTATCAAATAGGTGCAATTACATTATTATTATACATTATTATTATACATTATTATTATTATTACTTACATATTACATGTAACTCGGTAAACCGCCGAAAGACAGGCGAGTCCATTCTTACTTCTATCATCTTTAGGATACTATTGGTGCTCCCACGCAGTCGCAACATCTGTGACGCACTTTTTTTGCGCATGATTGCGTAAAAATCATCCACGCATGCATCCGCAAACATGCCAGATGCACTGCAAAAGCGGGGAAGCCTCAACAGAACCCTAAAGATGTTATTGTACAGTACACGCAAGGAGTTGTAAGCCCGCTGCGTAAAGTTGGTCCACAGTGCACCTGTATAAAAATTCTGACAGAATGCTCTAAAAAGCGTTATTTTTACATTAACAGAGCACTTGAAAAACCTCTGGGCCAACATGTTACCGCGCACTGACAACGCTGTACGACTGACAACTCTCTCTCCACATCATCATCATCTCCAAGATTCTCATTTACAATGTGCCCCAAGTACTTAAAACGAGAGACACGATTCAAGGGTACACCATTAAGTAGAAGCGGTGGAATGTCACTGTGACCTTTATATTTAAATACCAGAAACTCGCTCTTCTTTTCGTTGTACCTTAGTCCATGTCCCTCGGCATAAGTTTCACACACCTGCAGCATCTTTCTCAGACCACCGATTGATGGGCTCAGCAGCACCATGTCATCAGCATAGCTGATGTTATTAACACTGATACTGTCTATTCTACACCCAACGTTTGTACTCCTGAGATCACTGATCAACTGATTCACATATATGTTGAAAAGTCTAGGCGAACTCAATCCACCCTGCCTTACACCACATTTCAACGTATACTCGCTAGAGAATGAATTCGCCCATTTAACAACATTTTTTTGACTATTATACCAATGTGATAGTATACCTACAATTTCAGGAGCAACACCAATATTTGTTAGTTTAAGCCAAAGTATGTTATATGAGACCAAATCGAAGGCTCTTGACAAATCTAAAAAACAGGCATATATAGGTGTCTTTCTTTTCAAATAATAGTCCACAGTGTATTTCAGTGCCAGTATAGCACTCTCTGTCGACATACCCTCACGAAAGCCGAACTGAGCGTCATCTAATTTTGTGCGGCTGCTAAGGTGATTGTTGATTATCCTATCTAAGACCTTTGCTACCACTGTTGCTAAAGAGATGGGTCTGTAGTTGCCTTTATCTGCAATATCACCTGTACGATTTTTAACCAAAGGTATAACAACTGTTTTCATTAGGTCCGGAGGTAAGTATGTGTGTCTCAGACAGAAAGTGAACAACATGGACAAAAGCCTATTTATGTGTGGGCCTGCATGCTGTAAGTGCTCAATACTGAGACTGTCATGCCCCGGCGACTTACCTCTTTTCATATTTTTAATTGCAAGTGAAACGTCCTTACTAGTAAGTGGTTTTTGTATTAGACCCGTCGTCCATTTATTTGTAAGTCAATGGTAAAAAGTACACTTAATTAGAGTGTGTGAAGTTTGAATTTAGTTGAAATAAGATATTTTAGCTTTGTATTTTAGCATGGGTGAGAAAGAGTGAAAGGTGAAGGTTTTTATTAAAAAATATATACATAACCTAAAAAATTGGTTTTATTAATAACTGTAATGGAGTCTCTGTTACAACAGCCCTCAGAGTTTACTAACACCGTTCTATCGATTTAGCCGCTAATATTCACCGTTGTAGAGCTTTCGGTTTTACAATTTATGTTGAGTGTGTGCGTTATTTATTTATTTATTTAAAAAATTGTGGTATTGACACGCTATTGTAAGTTTTTAGAAGTAAAGTTACTGTACAATTATCAAATATAACGGCCTAAGCGCTACTTTAGAAATATATTTCTCTGCTGTAGATATAGCGTTCCAAAGGCACTAGTAAAATTTAACAGTTCTAAGCGTTAGGAATATACTATATACCACCTAAATAACTCCAAATAATAATTCCTTTCAAACACTACTAACTTCAAAAGCCCTTTACAAGATCTCAAGATGTTATAAGAGCTTTAGAAATATACGATATACCACCTAAAGCGTTTTAAAGGAAGCTAATAACTCCATTCAAACACTTCTAACTTCTAAAGCCCTCTACAAGATCTCAAGGTGTTATAAAAGCTGCAGATACCATACTGCAAAAGAGAAGGCGAATCTCTTTGCAGAGAGTTCACGTCTGGATGCCGCAGGGAACCTACCACCTACCTTACCTCAGGCTGACTGCACTATGGCGCCAGTTCGCATACGCTAAAAAGAGGTACTTAAAACTCTGCGGAATCTTGACGTGAAGAAAGCTAGCGGGCCAGATGGAATTCCAGGGGTAGTCCCATGTAACTGTGCGCCTGAGTTGTCTCCTGTTCTCACACGCCTATATCGCCTCTCACTTTAGTGTAGTTCCCGGGTCGTGGAAGCTTGCAAAACGCGCAATCTGTGCCAAAAAAGGAAGCAGAGCTGACCCTGTCAACTATAGACCTATCTCAGTCACTTTCATACTCTGCAAGACTATGGAACGTGTACTCAACAACCGTCTGCTATCGGACCTTGAAGACAACGACCTCCTCAGTGATTGCCAGTACGGATTCCGACGAAGGCGATCTACTGGGGATCTTCTTGTGTATGCCTGTCACATATGGAGCGAGGCTATAGAAAAGCAGGGCGAAGCACTTGCAGTGTCTTTGGACATTTCTAAAGCCTTTGACAGGGTCTGGCACTCAAACCTTTTAAGTAAGCTTCCATATATGGGCATCCCACTGACCTTTGCAATTAGATCCCGAATTTCTTGAGTGAACGTTCCATTCGTGTGGTCTTAGAAGTCTACTATCCAGGCTATCGGACGATAGATAAGTTCCTCAAGGTTCCGTACTGTCTACAACACTCTTTCTGCTACATACCAATGATATGTTGATGACAGCACAGTTGTAGATAAGTCATTGACCTACCTAGTAGGTCAATGAGATAGGTACTAGGCGGCGTTACTTCACACCGAGACAGTTGCTTCAGCTGTATCAAGCACAAGTCCGGTCGTGTATGGAGTACTGCTGCCACCTTTGGGATGGCTCTGCTACATACCAACTGACCACCTTGGATTCAATTGACAAGTGTGCCAAGAGACGTGACTCGGAAATCAGGAGAAACGAAGCTGCAGAACCTTGAACACCGCCGTAAAGTTGCCTGCTTATCGATATTTTACAGAATAGGTATATCACGGAGTGTGCGATGGAATTTCACGAATCAGTTCCGCCTTTCCCTTTCCATCATCGGGGGACTAGGCAGAGGCTTGGCTTCCACCCCTATGTTGTGGATATTCCAAAGACTCGCAGGAAGCGTTACGCTTCCACATTTATATGGCGAAGACTATGGAGTGGAATTCCCTGCCTGCAGACTTGTTCCCTGAACGTTATAACTTGGACCTTTTCAAGGCGAGAGTGAATAGGCATTATTTAGGTGTGCATGTATGGTCGACCTTATCAACGCTTGCATTTGAATAAAAAAAAAACTTTAGAAATATACGATATACCACCTAAAGCATTTTAAAGGAAGCTAATAACTCCATTCAAACACTTCTAACCTCAAAAACCCGCTATAAGACCTCACGGTGTTATAAAAGCTATTTATAACTCTGCTTTACATCCATTGCCCATACAATTGCTCTATGACTAGTCTTTTTATCTCTCTTGGCATATACCGTTATACGGCTATTGTAGGACTTTCTCCTGTTTAATTACTTTTGAATGCGCTGCTGAAGAGCTTAAGTACTATATACAGTACATTCCTTAAACAGCTAATATAAAACTTTTAGGTTGTACAGAGGTAATATAAGCAGCTTTTGTGCTTGTTAATGTATTATCTCAAGGTGCCTCGTTTAACACTTCATATTAAAAAACCTACTACACTAGCCTGGGCAAGTTAGCTACTTGAAAAGATGGCCCATTTCGTCAAGATTTTGGAATGGTACAATACTTGCGACTTTTCGTTCCATAAAAAATATTATACCTTTTTTTGCGCAAAAACCACATTTCAAAAATCTCATACTATGATAATTAATACTTTTTTATGCTCAAAGATCGGCTTGACCATAGTGTGAGTGAGATGGAAAGATGTGATAACGTGAACAAGACAGTGAACTAATGAACAAGATTTATATAAATATCCTATTTGAAAAAAAAATGAACTACTATAAAAGTTTAAAAGAAAGAGAACTTCGAAAGGAAGAGGAACTGGGAGAGATTTCTTTTAAAGATAAGCTCACTTTTATATATATAAAGGTGAGCTTATCTATAGAAGAAATGTCTCAAAATTAGAAAAAAAAAACCAAAAAGAAATCTTTCAAAATGGTGCAAAGTATTTTTTAAGTACTTTTCTTTGTGCATTAAAGATTTAAAAATAGTAAAGCCGCTTTTAGTTTTAGGTTTTTCGACTAAAGTAGGAACAATTGTGAAGTAATGGAAACTATTATAAAGCAGGTACAGTCAAGAGCACATCAAGCTTGAGTCTTTGGGACCATTCTTATAGCAAGTGGCATAAAGTTGAATAAACTAAAATGTCGAACTTGAAAGTGTCTTAACGTAAGTTGTATTTGTAATAATAAAAACCGATACAAGTACATATAAAATGTTTATTTCTTATCTTCTTTTTTTTTTATTTTTAGTTTATTACTATCTTAGAACTAATGAACAAATAAAACCTTATATTCAGTTAGAATGTAAACAAAAAAAAGGCGCTTACTAAGGCACATTGGTAATTAATATCATATTTATTACAGGAATGGACCCCACCCAATATACATTTGAGAAAGATTGTGGATGCTCGTTGCTTCTACAATGAGATGCTCCACTTGCCCTTCTGGAGACAGCGAGAGCGATAACTGCTTGTTCTTTGTCTTAACCTACCAAAATAATGATTAATCATTTTATTTCGTATATTGATAGAATATAAGTACATAAATTATGGCAATATATTCCGATGATACGAGTGATAGCATAGCTAAGAAAATACTGTAAGAATACTCTTTTTATAAAACCAAGTAACGGGACGAACAAGTTGTGCGCCTAGTGGTAAGCGACACGCCTGTCATAACCGTTGCAGTGCCACTCAGTTTTAAATCGCAAAAATCTGAAGGGCACTGCCACTGTACCCGTCGCCCATAGACATAAGTTCACAAGTTCCACGTGGTGTCATTTCACCAGCACCCCTGCTTGCTCTCATTACTGCTTGGTAGAAAGAAATAAGTAGGGTAGCAGTACCTTCCTGGATGAACTCTTTCACAAGGAGCTCTACTGCTACTATTATAATTACATGGCTAGCTCCAATGAACACTACGCCAACTTAATTTTTGGACCTGTTCTGTTTTTATTTTGTTTTTTGTTTCTTTATTTTTTTCAGAAAACTAGCTTTTTTTGTTTTTTGTTTCGAATTTTGTTTTTTTTCTCTAATTTTTTTTTTTCACAAAAGTCGAGGAGTGTATTATTAGTAATAATACGACTGTTTACAAACATAACAGAAAATTACCAAAAAATAAAATTGGCGTAGTGTTCATTATCATACCTCCGTATCGACATATTATACTTAGACTTAGCAAAAATGCCAAGTCAAACAAGTTTTTCGTATTTACAAAACCAACTTCGTCAAGTTTAAACAAGAAATTACAAAGTTAATGGATTTAATTTAAGACATTCATAAAACGAACTTTGAGTTCGATTTCTAAATCTCAACCTATGACAGTGAGATGTATATAAATAAAACATAGTGTGTTTCATAATTATGACATTACTCTGTTAGAAATAATTTTATTTTCCGGTTCGCTAAATGTTTGTACTAGATCTACATACCATGCCGTTGAGCCTCTGTCGAATATGCTGCAAATGGTGCAATGCCTGCTCATTGGTCCGTTCCCCGCAATCCACGGGCCGAGCACGGCCCCACGATACCAGCGGGTCGTACACGAACGGCTCGATAACGGACATCAACGCTGCTGTTTGTTCGCGGAGTACGCGCATTACTGCTTCGCAACTTTTCCTGAACAAAAAAAATTAGGTAGGCTTCTACAGGCCTACCGGTTCCTAAGGTAGCTGCGCGGTGCAGGAGTGGCAGTTACGTAAACGATATTCAATAGCAAGTTCATTGAAAACAGTGCCTACCAAATTAGTCAATTGTTGTTATGTGAAACGATAATAAAATAAACTATTTTTAACCGACTTCAAAAAAGGAGTTCTCAATTCGACTGTGATTTTTTGTGTATGTTACGCGATAACTCCGGTATTTGTGCACCGATTTTCCTGATTCTTTTTTGTTGGAAAGAGGGTACATCCATAGTGTTCCCATTTCATTTTGAAGAAAATCATCCACCTCTTAGAGTGGCTGTTCACGCATGAAGATTCATTTCAGGAGCAATTATTTTAATGGTTGATTTTGCTATTCTCTAATTCAAGACGTTTTTTTCTCAATATACTTTCAGTAGTGAGAACCGATTTTTATTATCTCCTGTGTCAAGTTCCGTATAGTGGCGAACTAGGGGATGAATGCGGGTTTGTTTCCGGTAACCGATTTCAAAAAACTTGGCAAATAGATGTAAATCCACGTACTTTTTTTAGTACTCTGTACTGAGATTATAATAATTGAAATTAATAGAGAAGCCATTTGGTACTTTTTTCAACCAACATGTTATTAAACATCCTCAGAAAAATCTTGATGAAATTATCCCTTTGTGCAGTGCGAAATAACTGTTACGTAAACTGTGAGGAGTGACAGTTTATGTCACTGCACCGCGCCTTAGGAACCGGCTCAGTTAAGTGGTAAACCTGTAATATACATATACAGGTCGTCTCACGACTAATGGACACATAGGAGACATTATTTTATTTTTTTAAATAAAATTGCATTTTTAAATTAGACTTTCAAAAAGTTGCTTGCGTCATCTGCGAATCAAACCAACCAAATGTGAAAAAACAGTATTTTTATGATGCCGATCGAAATGGTCAATTATAAGGACTAATTCCTTTTAAGTAGCATAGTATTTTAATTTAAATAAATTATCGTTTATTACTTTTTTACTCAGTTGTATATATAGGTTGCAAAATATCGACGAGGGCGAGCATCTCGGCACCGGAATTAATTTGTTTTACAATTTTGGCGTACCTTTACTACGGTAGTGTATTTAAAACAAAAGTTTGTACATGTAAGTAAAAATTTAGAAAGTTTGTGTGTGCTTCAGCTACGAGTACAGACTCCTCTATAGTCGAATCATAGACCCCATTTGATGTTTGTATATAAAAAAATTGTATATACTTTTCTTTCATGGTATTGCCTGTCAAATAAAATAATTTCATTTTTTATTTCATCCAGTATTAAAGTTATAAAACAATTATTAGGTCTTGCACGTTATTGTTGACTAATAATACTGTTTTTTCTGTATTAAATATTTTGACATTTTCAGCCATTTTTAAATTACCAAGTCACGATTTTTTTTTATTTAACCAAGAAGTTTAAGCTGCATATCCCCTGTACAATACATTTTTAAATGAATGAACATGGAGCAACAAGTTAACGACAGTGACCACAGAATCTCTGCAGAACCTATTTATGTATTACGACAGCAAGCGTGAACAGATTATAATCGTTTTTGTGGTGAACAGAGAAGTGGTCTAAAAGTTTTACTTAGCAAAATGGTGGGGGATGAGACTTGTGATTTTCTTATGAACCTCAATCGTCAACAAGTGTCAACAGCACGTCCATTCTATGCGTGCTTTTTATATGTGATATCATCAGCACACTCGATTCTGCAACGTGCTAACAAACTGCGGTCCTTAGTAAACAACAATACCTGAACATGCCCTCATGTCTAAGTGGGCCCATAGCAGCTTCCATATTGTGTGTAAGGCGGAACGGTACTCTCTCGGGCCACTCGAATGCCTCGCCTTTATTAAATAGGCAGTTGAAATCTACATGCACTGTATCACCGTTAGTTGAATCAAAGGATATGTTCTCTCCGTGCCGGTCGCCGAGTCCTACAATTTAATATGAATTTGTCACTTTATTGTTAGTACACATAGTATGTTTATGGAAATAATTTAAGTATAGCTATGTTATAGGAAATGAAACTATTTTTTCGGGTCTAAATCATGTATACTTGTTTTAACAAACAAACCAACGTTTCGGGCCCTTTACAGGTCCCATGGTCACGGCTGACTTCTAGATCTGAAAAAATAATTTCATTTTCTATGTGTAACAATCATGAAAACCTAAGAACTCGAATATGGCTGCATTTTAAGTAAAATTTTCCACAAAAATTAATAGAATAAATTTAATGAAATTGACTCTGTTTTATGTACTAACATTTCATTGTGCTGAAAGAAAAATCTGGACAGCGGAAGTCGAACATTTAGTAATAACATTTTCATACAATTGGTGTTTACCACGGAATAGCAAACTAGATATCTAAATAACAATTTCTCCATTATATGTTTAAAATGGCCTCTACAAGAGAACTAAATTGTGTATAAAATATAAAAACTTCCAAGTGCTAATCACAATGTAAAATAGTAGTAAGTAGCACAATTATACCTAATTTACATCACTGTAGTTCCCTTACTTACGGATAAGCAAACACCGAATATCTCACTAAGCAAACCGACGAGCGCTCTAACATCATGTATATTTGGCTTATGTAGTATGTTTAAAATTATACTTAAGTGCCTCTGTAGTGTAGAGGCTCAAAGTGTAGAATTAGATTATACGTCTTCCGATAAATTGATATAACAGAAAGAAAAATTTGTTCATGGCCATTAAGAACGGGGTAGTGGGGTCAACCCAACTGAATACCAAAAGTTTGTCATCGTATGTACTAATTTAGTGGTCACGTCTGAGTAATTAGTACCGAATGGGGTGTTAATTGTAATGCTTACCCAAAATATATCCGACCATAGACATGACGGCCGTCGTACGTATGTAGGCTGATCTAGCTTGGTACCTGAAAAATAAATAGCAGGTTGACAGGAATAAATTGTCACAGTCATAGTTTCTTTTTATGATACCAAGTGACGTGGCGAACAAGTGCACCCGGTGGCGAGCGACACTCAGAGCTTTAAATCGCAAAGATCAGAAGGGCACCGCCACCACGCCCGTCACCCTGACACATAAATTGACAAGTCCCATGTGATCGTAATTTCACCAGCACCCCTACCCTTCAAAACCGCAACAATGGCCACATTACTTCTTGGCGGCTGAAATAGATAAGGCAGCAATACATCCCTGGACGAACTCTTTCACGAAAAGTTCTATTGCTATTAAATAATACGGAAAACAAATTTTGTAGAATGGTCTCGATTGTCAATTAGTGGTGCAAAAAAAATTGTTATACGTACAGGGAATCCTTGTTTGTTAATTTTGCACCTGTTTCTGTGCTTTTTGCAATAAAGTTATTATTATTATCATCATACTATACACAAATAAATAAAAGAGATATGCAAGTGTCCATGACACTAAATTGGAGCCAGAAATTTTTGAACATTCGAAACAATGTCACAGAATATATATGATAATTGGAATAAAGGTATGATATACTTTTAAATCCCTAGGTGTTACTACACCAATTTCTTATTATGTTTTTAATATCAAAACATCCACAAAACTTTTATATTTTTTTACGTATTTGAGATTATTACTGTGAAGCGGTATTTCGAATAGTCTCGCAAATTGACAGTCCACAATTCAAGGTCTCCAAACACGAACAGCACTTACAATAATGTTTAATGGAAACTGTACATGTACATCGCTAGAATAATATTTGCATTAAGCATTTAACAAAAAAATAATAGGGGTTAAAGTATGAAATTGCCGATTTGTACTGAAAATCTAAATTGTTTATTTTTTAAATTTTTAACAAATTTATTTAATCAAAATAGTTGCCATTATTATCTATACATTGCTGCCATCTAATGGGAAGGTTATTAATGCCTTTGCGATAGAACTCCGACGATCTAGACTGCACAAACTGTGTGAAAGCATTTTGTACTGCCTCCTGGGAAGAAAACTTCTTGTCACGTAGATAATTGTCCAAATCACGAAAAAAAATGGTAGTCCGTTGGAGCAAGGTCTGGTGAATACGGAGGATGACGAATGGTTTCTAACTGCAGTTCCTGAAGGGTCAAAATGGTTTCTCGTGCTGTGTGAGGTCTCGCGTTGTCGTGGAGCAATAATGGTGAAGATCGATTCATGAGTCGGGGCTGTTTTACTGCTAGTTTTGTCAACATGGTTCGGAGTTCGGCACAATAGACATCTGCCGTTATTGCTTGACCAGATCGGAGAAAACTATAGTGAATAACACCATGCTGAGACCACCAAACAGTTACCATTACCTTTTTATTGGTAAGTTTTGCTTTAGGACACTGTTGTGGCATTTGACCTGGGGTCAGCCATTGCATTTTTCTTTTCCGGTTATCATAAAGAATCCACTTTTCATCACATGTTACAATTCGATCCAATATTTCTTCATTTCTGTACCGGTTCAACAAGGCAACACAAGTTTCAACACGCGTTTCTTTCTGCAGATCAGTCAAATCATGAGGTACCCATTTTTCGTATTTTTTATTTTATTGATTTGACGCAAGTGAGTCAATATTGTGGGTAAGGTAACGTTAAACCATGCCGCTAATTCCTGGGTAGTTTGACTAGGATCGGCTTCCACTATCTCTCTTAATTCATCGTTATTCACCTGTGTGGGCGGTCTTCCTCGTGGCTCGTTCTTTAAGTCGAAATTTCCATCACGAAAGCGTTTAAACCAAAATCGCACGGTGCGTTCATTAGTAGACCCCTCTCCAAACGCAGCATTGATATTGCGGGCTGTTTCTGCCGCGTTAGTTCCGCGTCGGAACTCGTATTCAAAAATCACTCGAATTTTCGCAGTATCCATCTTTCTTGTCTAAATTGAATAACAAAAACAATTGAAAGTCGATATTCAAATGTTTCAAATTAAAAAAAAAAAAAAATCACAGAAACCATTTGAAAAAAGTTTCATTCGAAAACCTCAAACCATGAAGATTCTATGAAAATTCAAAGAACCTATTGCAATAAAACGGCAATTTCATACTTTAACCCGTAATATTATACTCGCCATCCATATGGATCGGCAAACACTCGTCGAAACCATTCCTGAAAAACTGGTGGGTGTTTCGGTAACAATTGTTCTTCGTACACTCGTCGCTTTTTCTCGACAGAGTCTTTGTTTGAGCACATCATCTCTTTCAGTTCCCGGTTACTAGTGTGGATGCCTGGAGAAAATAATACAATACACAGGGTTATTTGTAAAATGCTAACAACCACGCAGGATTATATTACAAACATCATAAACAACAACGTTTGATCCATGACTTTTAATAATTCATCATCTTACTTCATTACTTTACATCTTAATTCATTACTTTCGTACAAAACTAGGAATATTTTAATAGATCACTTTAAACGGTGATAACTCTGTGCGGGGTGGGGTTCGTTGGATAGAATGTTCGAACGTTTGATCTTACTACCAATTACAGTACATATAAAATGTGTCAGATAGTACAAAAAAAAACTTAAAAGTTTATTTTTGTAAGTTTATGTTTGGTAAAAAGTCATGTAACAAATGTTGTTGATTATGATGTTTGTAATATGTTTTTTTGTATCTATGTGTTGTGGCGTTGCAATAAATGTCTATTCTATTCTATTCTATTCTAATATAGAGCTGCTAAGTTGTTAGTGTTTTAAAAACAACCCTTTATAATGAAGAAAAATCATAGTGTAGAGCGAATCTACAGGTAGCGTTTTAACAGGATGATACATCTGGAGAAGTAATGTTCTTCTAGAATATATCCAGAAATATTTGTCGCTAACGCCCGCGGTCAATATTTCGCACATGAAACCAAAAATGCCCTAACCAAATAATCACATTACTCGTTATAAATCCATTCAGTAATTATTTTTTAATTTTCAAATCGTGTTTTTATTATACGAAGTGACGGGACGAACAAGTCGTGCACCTGGTGGTAAGCGACGCGCCTATCCAAAACAGT